GGAGGGAGTGGTTATTGATGCTCTGTGACCTTGCTTACTTGCTTGCAGACATTTCATTACTCAAGTAGGTAGCATCTTCAGTGCTAACCCAGGGTTAACCCACACCCAGATGTTACCTAGTTAGATAACAAAACATTTGCATGCAAACAATCAAGGACTCCATTTAACAGCATTTGAACAGGAACTAGAAAGTAATGCATGCAGGAATCTATAAGTATGTGGGTCAATTTCTGCAACCCAGTGGCATTATTGCAAGTATGTAATATTTATAACAAGTATACTCCTTGATTCTCATCAGCCTTCCACTGTTTACTTTATGACTTCCTTATCCCTGGTATTCTAGGCGGGTTATAGAAATATTTGAAAAATAGGAAGGAAGGCTTGTCTATCTGCCTGCCTCTCTCTCTTCCTCTTTCTCTCTCTCTCTCTGCAATGTGGTTTTTTATTGGAGAAAATAAATATAAATAATACAAATATAAATAAATAAATATTACCCTAAATCTTTTTCTTCCACCAGTTGTTGCTGTTGTTGTTTGGGGGAAGGACAGTAATAATTTTTAAAACTAGTAAATATAAAAATATTATTTTAACTGTGTAAAATAAGTAATAGTTCCTAAATTATCTGACACTTTCAATAAGTAACAAAAATAACTAAATTTACAAAAATTGTTACAGGGGAAAAATTATATGAGTGCCCCAATTGTAGTCTTCCACTTTATAATGTACTCCTAATTTCTCACCATATCAATTTGTGCATGATAACAGTGAAAAAAACAAAATTGAACTAAACATACACTGTGTTTTTGTCAGCTTCTAAATAGTCATTGTAATATCTCAGTGAAGTTCTAAACCATTCCATAGCAAAACTCTTGACACTTATCAGTGTGACAACCAAGCTCATTGCCAATGCAGATTCAGTACTTTTGGGTAATTTTTTTCTTTGCTAATAGCTATTGCAATGTCTAGCATATGGACAGAATCCAAATTTTACATGTAAGTAAGATAATGACTTATATCCTAAATCCTCACAGAGATGACAGATCAGCAGATAATGAGGCAAGTATTTCAGAATCTTCTCCACATATGTAAAGCCTTGCTTGCATAATATTAGTTTAAAGTAAATTTGAGATGTATCTTTCCCAATTACCAAGGTATCCAAGCATTACATTGAAAACTTCAGGTTTGCTGACCAGGAGCATCTTATACAGTCCCATCAATTCCGGAAAATATAAGACTAGGTCTCTAAATTTTTCATAATGGATACCTACTGTTGAGGTAATTCCCCGTTAGGAGAATGAGCGCATACAGGGAGACGTATTTGAGAGAGGTGTTGAATAATACACACACAGCACACAGATACACTGTACAGTAAATGTACCGTATTTGCCGGCGTATAAGACGACTGGGCGTATAAGACGACCCCCCAACATTTCCACTCAAAATATAGAGTTTGTTATATACTCGCCGTATAAGACTACCCCCTCTTCCGCACACCTTCCACATACCAAATAAAAGGTAAAAGAACATCAGATTTGATTTCAACATGTTAATTTATATTCAAATGCTTATGACATGCAGGAAAACTCACAAGGCTGTGAAAGTATGCCAAATAATAGAACATAAGTAATTTTCCGATTCAGAGCAGGTATAGTTCATAGTTTTATAAAATGTGTGTGTGTGCCTAAATTTCAAATTACCCATTTACCATGACTTGTCATGGACAGGCAACTTTATTAAAAGAATTCTATTTCAGCTAAGCCGGAAAGACACAAATAGGGCCTGCAGAAGCATAATTTTCACTCTGATATTAATTGTGGCAATGTTGCATTTTAAACTAGCCATGATTAATTATATCCAAATTTTCACACCCACACTCCCCTTCCTTTAGCTTTCTGAAAACCCCACATTCGCAGATCCCATTTTAGCAATGCATCTAAGATTTGACTTGCCAGCCACTATCATTAAATTATGCTTGCTAAAATATGAACTGAAATATGAACTGAAATATGAACTACCCTGCAAAGCTGCCCATAATGAAGATAAGTTGATCTTGATGTCAATCCTCCTCAGCCTTTCACTTGTCTTTTACTTGATACCGCTGCCAAACCTGCTTTTCCATCGATACCAGAGTAAAAAGGTGACATTGCTCCCCGCAGCAAGAGAAGACAATGTGGGATGTGAGAAAGAGGAGAAATTGCAGTGAAATTAAGGAAATTAGGCGTTTGTGTTTTTATTTTCCTTTCCCCCTTTGGGACTGGATCTAGAAAGTTGTCATTTTAACATGATCGCTCCCCTTCTTCTCTTCCCACCCCCAACCTCTGTTTCGTCTTTAAAGAGAAAAAGACACCCATTCTGCTTTATTGTATCTGACATAGTGGGCTTTAGTTCAGAAGCTGATGTCACTCAACAGGCAAGTCCTTTCGGAAAACGCCAGGCCCTGCCTGGTCTTACCCAACGCTGCTTGCCAGGGATCTGGCAGGAAAGAAGGAGTTCCAGATCCTTTTTCTTTCTAGCCTCTCCACCTGCCTTTCCCGAGTCCATCCAAGGACGCGCCTGAAAACCAGGTTGATTCTGGGTAACGTCTAAGCCCCAGAGGTGGGGTCCGATCAGTCCCTTTGCCCAGCTCCACAAAAGGTGAAATCGCCAGCGAAGCAAAACAAACGGAAGGAAGAAACCGAGCAAGCCGGGTCAAGAGCTGCGCTACCTCTAGCTGAGCCTTAGCGGTAGTAGGGACCCACATCCCACCTCCGCCCCACCTCAGCGAGAGGGAGCCGGCCGGATTGCGGGGCGTAATCCCTCCCTGGCAGAGCTACGGGTAACCCGACGCTCAAGGCTACAACTGAATGCAAAGTCCCCGCTCTGAGATCTGCAGCTAATTTACGAGGAACCCTTTGCAATTCGCCAGTGCCTGCTATGACCTCAAGGAGAGGGAGAAGCGAGCCTCCTCACCAACAAGGCGAAGAATATACCCGGCGTATAAGACGAGCCCCCCACTTGGAGGCATGTTTTTCAGGGCAAAAAAGTCGTCTTATACGCCGGCAAATACGGTAGGTTTTTACTTTCCATAAAAGTTTAAGCAAAGTTCAAGATAAGCAGTCCAAAGTCATTCACAGGTAAATCAGTCAGTTTTCAATCCAGGGATAATCCAATAACAAAGTCCAGTGTCAAAAACAGTTCAGTATCAGACTCACATCAAATCCAGGGATAGCAGTCAATTAGGAAAAATGGAGGAACAGCAATAGTCTCCAACAGAAGGAAAACAGAGACTCACTGAGACATACTCTCTTCTGAGACTAAGACTAAGACAACCCAGGTTTCTGGCTCCATCTTATGGCCATTTGAGAAACCACACCCAACTACAGTTTTTGCATTTTCTTAAAGAGACAGTATTAAAATATCTATCCTGGTTTATATATTGTCCAACCCAAATAGCTTTCAGGTGACTTATATTCCTAACACCTACCCTGACTATTAAAGTCAGCTCAATCCCTATTTTTTTTCTTCTGAAAACTCTGAAATCTGGCTATATCATCAGATCTGAGTTCCCATGAGACAATAAGATGACACCTTTGCTAATCTAATTCCTTATGTATCTTCTGCTTTCCTAACTTTTTAATAATGACTTATTTTTAGATGTTTATTACTTTATGTCACCACCCAGAGTCACTTCTTGTGAGAAGGGCAGCCATATAAATTGAATAGGTGAATAAAATAAATATGAATATCTCATTTTATCAAAAAAAAAGCAGGAACCAAAATTCAAGTAACTGTTTCTTTTTAAAATTGGGGTTTTTTCCCAACCTCAAAAAGGTTAAATACTGAAACTGAAGTGGTTAGAGCTAGGTCCAAGGCTATTTCTGTTTGCTTCTCATCGGGAAAGGCAAAGAATTTTTCTCAGTATATGCTAAAATAGACAGGAGAAATCTTTGTTGTCTTCGTGAATAGGCACAGTTTGTTACAAACATGTCATAATTACTGATCTGTTATCATCAAGGAACATTTACAAGACATACTTATCACCCTTCCAATGTCACACTATTCTGTCCACTCTCCTGCCTGATTTGCTAGATAAATTTTAAAAGACAGCTCAAATAGGACGTTGATATGGATACGAACCACTGTCAAGATTTTAGCAGGTGGTCAGTGGGTCTCCTCTTCCAATGTTTATGATATTACTTCAATTCTATATAAAGCACATTATCCAACTTTTTCCTGTGATGGAATGGAATGAAGGATCTCAAAACCAATTCAAAAATTTTCAGTCTGCTTCGCCCCATATATTTTGCCATCCTTTGGACCACAGGTGCGCTTCAAAAATTTTAGCAATGGGTCCTCTGCCCGGTTGCTGGGTGAGCATGGCTATGGTGGGCATTGCCTAGTCAGCCTCTGCACCATGGCAGAGGGGTGCCCTCCCCAGGCTCCTGAGGCTTTATTTGAGCCTCTGGGAGGGTGAAAATTGCCTCCCCGTGCTCCGGGGGCTCTCTGGAATCCAGAAATGAGCCCATTTCCAGCCTTCCTGAACTTCTGGAAGGCCCATTTTTCACCCTCTCCAAGCCTCCATGTATGCCCTGCATTTACCTGCATCCAAAATGGGTTATGTGGTGACTCCTGGGAGGGGTGGGGCCAGCCAGGACTCCTGGGAGGGGTGGGGCAGCCAGAAGTGGGATTTGGGGGCTCTCCAAACTTTGCAGAATCTTAGCAAGAGGATCTCCCAAACCCCTGAGAACCCACAGCAGCCCACCCCTGCTTTGGACTCCATTATCAGCACTATTAGAAAAAATTATCTTGTTAAATTGTATAGGTGAACCAAGACTATGGTGTCCAAGGGGATGTTAAGTTAATCTTCAACCCAAATATTCAAATATAAATTTTGCTAACTAAATGACAAAAAGCAAGGCATTATTATGCAAAGAAAACTTCCAAACACCAACAAAAGGCAAAAAGATTTCATTCTAAATCAAGCTGAGTTTCTTTGAAGCCCTTCAGCATTTGATTGGATTCAACTTTATCCAAACATTTATTGTAATGGCAATTAATGGCATGTGCACAGATGGACATCTGGGCTGAAGAAATAGTAATGATGTTTTTAATTGCATGTTCAAAAGACTATCTTCCAAATACACATACAACTATCACATATAAGAAGCAATTACATGACTTGATCATTGGAATCTACTTGATGATAAGATTAGAAACAATTCCTTAAACAAATAAGCCAAGTAGAAAACTAAACTACAGTAAATCAGTGCAGAATTAAGTGATATACAACAGAAATATTAAGTAGCTGTGATCAGCAAAAAAAATGGCAAAATTAATGTGTGTGTGCTTGCGTGCACGTGCACGTGTGCATTTATGCCTTCAAATTAATTTTGGCTCTTGGTAACTGCCTGGATGAGTCCATGAAGTTTTCTTGGCAACGTATTTCAGAGGAGGTTTGCAGTTGCCTTCTTTCTAGGATTGAGAGATTGAGCAATTGGTCGTACCCAACTGGCTTCATTCCTTAGGCAAAACTAGAACGCAAGGTCTCCCAGTTTCTAGCCCAATGCCTTTAATCATTGCACCAAACTGACTTTCAACCAAATGATAAGCATCTTGTGTTTAGCTAATTAGAAACAAATCATAGCCTCCTTGTACCCTTCTAAAATTCATTAAAAAAGATAAGGAGAAAGGGACACTTTCGGCTGCCATAATTTTTATACTTTAAATTCTAAACAGATCCAAATCCAAAACTGTGGAAAGCAATATCCCCCTTTTCTTACTATGTTTCCAGTGAATCTATATTCTACTCATTCACCCTACTGAAGACAAAACTAAGCTGTACAGTTTAACATAGCTTATTCTGGATCTCCCAATTAACCTGCTACATTAAACCCAATGAGACATCCTCTCCTATCACCCATGTCTAAATGAAATGCAGAAATTCATTTTACTGCATCTGAATCTTACTAGGACATAGGTGAAAGGGCAGAATTCTAAATGAAAAGAAAGCACCATTAACCCATGCAATAAATCCACCTTATTTGCTGCTTAAACAAGTAGAAGACTAGATATAGATAGGTACTATAAGATCTTCATTATTATTATTTTTTCCTCTTGCTTCCTTGGACTTTGTTTACCACCTTAAATTCATCGGCAGCCATATCTGCCATCATTTGGTAAGCCTGTGCCATTTATTTTTTAGACCATTCCTTTTAGCCAACAAAACATTTTTCTCTTCTGGACTCACTTATGATAACAACAATTAAGGCTTCAGTGTATTAATGAGTGTCAAGTGACCTGAAATTATGAATGTAATAAATCATTCATTCTGGCTGGCACTTAACCAAAAACAAGCAGGCAATTGATTGATATGCCACTGTTTAGATTAATGTGCTGGTGTTTGT